ACTAACAGATCCATTTCCAGAATTTAAATGGTCAGTTCAATAATATAGCCCAGTTGAGAAATCAATAGACTATGATAGAAAGGTACCATTGAAGGCAACTCAGCCCTAATTCGGAATAATTTCTGGAGTGAACAGATGGAATAGTGAACAACACGCTATTCTTTTTGCTTTCCAATCAAAAGAACCAGCTTTAACAACATTGAGTAACCTCCTAGTTAAGAGTCATAATTACTATCAACCATTAGTAGCTGCCTTATCCAATAAGTTCAGAGTGACACACCAGAAGGAAGTATCCAGAGGAAAGCTCTAGAAGAGGGTACAGAGGAAAAAAGAGACTTTAGTCGAACTTGTGGAAGATTTGGATAAGTTTCCCCAAATATCTTAGCCAGATGTCCAACTTGAAATGTTGGATTTGTTGGCACGTGATCAATTTATAGATACCAAACTGACGAGGATATGAGCATTTAGTTGAACCAAAATAGGTGTACATTTTAAAAGAAAGCCCAGCAGTTGGCGATGTAAATTGAATCCCTTAAATTTAAACAACTAAAGGCATCATCTAGAAGCTACTGGCTTATCAGATCGAGTAGTATTAAAACACTAACTCTCTCTAATGACGGTCTAGAAGAACTGAAAGAATTAGTTAGACAACTAGTTAAACAGAATGGAGGAAACAAGCCACAAGACAATATATATTTCAAGTGTAACTTGAAAGGACATATTGCCAAGAACTGCAGACAAAGGCTGTGAATAAAAGGAAACTGTTTTAGGTCTGGGAAACACCACCATTACAGCTGATAGTGTGACAAAAACAACAACTGTTAGTACATCAAGAAAACAATAACCTAAGGATGAATCTTCTAGCACAACTACGTCAAAGGAGCAACAAAGGGCTAACCAGAGATCAGTAAACAGGAATTTTCTGGGCTTATGGGGCTAAGCTCAGCTGAGAATACCCCATTTTCCCAAATTAGATAAGAAGTTAATTATAAAAAAAAATCTACGAGTTTATTGATAAGAAACTATGTAGTATGTTGATGAACACTGGTTCTACAGCTATAATTGTTTAATCCAACTTGGTAATGAAAGATGAGAAATTGTTTCCAGTGATAGAGAAAGAATATGGATTGATGTGAACAGCAAGTGGACATAAAGTTGTAGGAAGCGGTTACTTTAGGACGCTTCTCTGCCCTCGTGATGTGTGGGTGATTGACATCAAAGAAGAGCCCATATTAGGAACTGCTTTCATATGGAGACATGGATGTGAGGTTAGAATAGCTTCAAATATTTTCACAGCCTATGATCAGGAAATCCTTGTACACTGCACTACAGGTTGAACATCTATTGATAACAAGGAGGAAAGTCATTGTACCACCAAGAATTGAAATACTTATACCAGAACTTGTAACATCTAGTGACTGGACCATGGTAGAAACAAACGCTCCAATGTGTCTCGAGGAATTAATGGTTGGAAGAACTCTCGTGAACTTGAAGAATAAAGATGTCATTTTAAGGCCATAAACATGAAGACCCATAAAATTGAAGTCATGTCTGAATGAGATATTACAAGTACAGGTAGTACTTCCATATCAGGAAACATCAGAAGTGGTCACTTTTGAGACAAGGTGTAGAAAGTCTAATATTAAATCTTCACATAATGACAGCTTACCACCCCACTTACAAGCACTGTACACAAGAGCATTAGTGGTCTTGTAGCTTATAAATTCCATAGATTACATGAATTATTCGTGGAATATCAAGTTACTTTCTCCAGTGGATCACATGACTATAGCCAAACAAATGGAATAACTAAAGGTTGGTACTGGAGATGCAATCCCAATATGTCAGTTAGCGTGATGATTCCTACTTGAAAAACAAGATGAGGCTCTCAAGGAAATAGATGGTATGAAAAAAAGGAATAATAGAACTGAGTACTAGCTCTTGGACATCATCTTATATTTGTGACTAGAAGGATGAATCCAAAAAGTTCTGTATGACTACTAGAAGGTAAATGAAGTAACAAAGAAGGATGCTTACTCATTGCCAAGGTCTAACTCTACTTCAGATGCGCTATCTGGATGTCAGAGTTTTATATGTGTATGAGTGGGCTGGGAATGTTCTACAGTAGGTGTCTGTGACTTGTTGGCGATAAAGTTGGACAATAAACAGACATCACACAACCCACTTGTTTTAAAATAATATATGTTTAAAACAAGTCAAACGTATGTACAAAAATTCTTTACACTAAAGAATATAGAATTAACATCATACATGACTTTATGAGGAAAATATTTAAAACAGCTAATGATAAAAGGAAATTAGCTATGATTTTAATGGTAATAAGGCTATATTTCATCGAAATGACATGGTATGGTAGTACGACCTCTTCTGCAAGAGAGGACGAACTCCAAAATTAAGCAGATATTGGGAAGTACTATATATTATAGAAAAAATTATACAGTGATGCGATTTATAGAATCTATAAGAAAATACAGTCCAAGCTGAAATTTATCCACTGGAATCATCTTTGGAAGAACTACTGTAAAAGAACAGCCAACTGGACAACTTCAAAGAAGATACTTCGACTGTAAAGTCAACCAGCTAAACATAAAATATGCAGAGAGACTAGGAATACCATTGATGTCACATATGACTTTACCATGATTGGATTTACAGACTCTATAAGAACAGGCAATCCAAGCTGAAGATCATCCACTGGGATTGTCTTTGGAAGAACAACTGTGAAAAAAGATCCAACTGGGTAACTCCAGAAAAGATATTTCCACTGTGACGTCAACCAGCTAAGAACCCAGAGTTTCTGTTAATAACACTTCCAGAAAATCACCAAGGGTAGAGCCACCAGTGAATTTGCTCGAGCACCTACCTAGAGAGAATTCCTCGAGTGGCAGGATAGCACTTGATAGTAAGGGACAAGAGGTCAACCTAATTGCATAAAATGAGCCTTAGAAAAGAAAAACCAACAAAAAGACTTGGAGAATAGACAGTTTAGATACAGCAAAATAAGATATTGGAAATTTTTAGTTAATCAGAAATGACATTACAATTTCTATATTATTCATCAAAGGTGTCAAACATGGTATAACAACATTGTGTTTGTTTAATTCAAAACTTATTCAGTCTTACTATTTCTCCTGTAAAAAAACTAAAACACTGCCCCCTTTATGGACTATGAAGTTCCTTGAAAAAACCTAATATTTATTATTAAACAAATAGAAAACACAGCATACATACTTGTATAAACAAGACCGTAATCGATTATGTAGTAGGTAGTGTTTAGTTTCACAGCTTCCACTGTGTCAAGACTGATCACTGTAGAATTAAACATGATCTTTACACCAAGATCTTCTAGCGGAATTGAACCAAGAAAGCACACGTGGATTCAACAATAAGGATTCGATTTTTAGATAAAACCCGAAAAACTTATATATCAAAACAAAACATTTATTAAATGAAATAGTCTCCATTCTTATCGATGGTGCTTTTCTATCTTACAATCTTGTGTTGCATCAAACGTGCCACGTGTGGACGAACATTGTCGTGGAGAAGAATAACATCTTTCCGATTGACGAGTGAAAGGCGTTTCTGATGAAGGGCTTGATTTAAACGTTCCAGTTGTTGACAATAGATCTCTGCATTGACAGTTTGCTGTAGATTGAGGAGTTCGAAATGAATTACTCCTCTCATGTCCCAACAAACGCAAAGCATCACTTTCTGCGGATGGAGTCCAGGTTTTGGGGTCGGAAGTGGTTTTTGTCTAGGACTGAGCCATTGTTTTTGGCGTTTAATATTCCCATAGAGAATCCATTTTTCATCACCGGTGACAATTCTGTCCAAAAATGGTTCACGCGCATTACGTGCCAGAAGAGAAGAAGCAACGTTCATACGTTGGAAATGATGTTCATCGGAGAGTTCGTGAGGCACCCAAACACTTTCTTTATTGAGTTTACCCGTATTACTTAGGTGTTTTCCTATTTTTTCATCAGAGACATGCAATTTCAGGGCCATTTCACTAGTGTATTGCCTTGGGTTAAACTCAAGAAGCGTCTTCAGAGCATCAATATCAATTCCAACATGTCGGCCGCTGCCATCACAGTTTTTAAGGCTGAAGTCATCTGAACTATCTTTGACGCTCACGAACGCACAAAACATATCCATAAACTTATTTGATATTCTTTGTGGCTAAAGAGGTGTTGTTTCCCTGCTTGTATTCAAACAGCATTACATGCCGAATGTGTGTCTCGTCGTATGCCATCACTATAAGGGATTATGTAGAGTATACTAAACTTTACACATTATATAGGTTACACTAGCGTGACGTTTAGACAATTCGTTTGACTATTATACGTGGTGTACGTTAATGAAAGTGTTCCAAAACGCGACATTAATTTCTTGACGACCTAATATCTCCCCAAGGATCCAGTAAACCTCCATACCAATTTGGGTGAAGATCCATCCACACCCTACGAAGTACTTACATGGACATACAATAGACAGTACTATTATAAGTACATATAGATATATGTGTGTGTAAGAGAGACCAGTTGTTTCATGCTGTATTGATCATTATTGTTTAATAATTATGATAAATAGTAATAAATCATTGAATTTCAAAAACGTAATTGTTATCATAGATTTTTTTTTTTAATTACTGTATCAACTATGGTAGGTTTAATGTTTTGACACTAGGTAGGGAACATCTATAGTTTACAAACATCTTAGTCTCATACTAGGTTATTTACAGTAATCTATGTGTAATATATGTTGAGGTAGTTCATTGTACTGTTGGTATTGTTTGATGAATAAAACAAAAAAAATTGCTGTTTGGTTATATCTTTTGAGGTTTAACGTTAAAAGTTTTCTGCAAGCTTTAGGCCTATATTTATTACTACTGTTACGAGTAGTAGAATGCGCAAGGTTAAGTATTAAATAATTAACTATTATTATTTGTATTAATATTATTACAAAGATTATAATTTGTATTTGTAAGTTAGGTAATAGTTAATGCAAAGTACTGTAGTGTAGTGGTGTACACGATATGATTATTAATTAGTCGATTACTCATTACTGGTAATATTATTAATACTAGTACTGCTAAACACAAGGCAGCTACTGAACTAGTTCATTGTGTGGCATTATTCTCGTGACTTTCAATGTTTCATTTTCAAAGGAGGTTGATTCACTTTTAGGTTCTGAAAACTGAGGTAACTACATACATCTTATTAACTTTTGATAAAAGTGTTATTGTTAACTTGGGCAGGTTAACTAAAAGTACAAGTGTGTATGTGAAAGTTATATGATTTATCAAGTCTTACCATGGAAATTTTGATTTCATTGTGCAACAACTGATAAATATTATAAAACTACAGAAGGAAGAACTATAAACAGTAGAACTAGAAATTAGAATGGAGATCTTACTGAGTTTAATGTAAAAAACGAGTGGGTAAAAATGCTGAATTAATGTAGAATGTTGCTGGTATTGGTACCTTATCAAACTAAACCTAACTTAATTATGTGTACTTTCCATAGATATCGTATCTAGATGATTATATTAAATATGGTAAACTATTATATTACAGGTAAACAGGAATACACTTTGTTTAATATGTTTGAACTATAGTAGCACATCTTTTGCTTTTTGTCACTTAGGACAGAAATAAAGAATTAAAATGGAAGCAGGTCAAAAATTAAGGTCTCATGTAATGGAAAAATGTTGGTGTTGCACAGAAGTTTTTTGGCTTCAAAGGCTACAAACAGATTTTCTGATTAATTTCTCTGATGTAACAGACATCAGAAAAATGCATATATATTTATTTGGTGCATATTATATAAAGAAATCAAATTTGTTAAATTATTGTACTACTTTATAATACTCTTATTTGTTGTACTAGTATTGCTAGTTTTGCCATATGTAATGTTAATAAGTTACTCGAGGAGTATATTTTATAATTTATAATGTAATTTTATCAGATTATTGACACTTATGGTGTGATAAAAAATGTGCCATTGTGTAAATTCTAGCTAGTTTTGTGCAAGAGAACAGTCAATAAAATGGGTAAGGTGATAGAAGGCCATTCAGCCATATGAGGTGATTCCTACCTTCACCAAAACAAACTTTTCATGAAACTGTATAAGTAGGTCATTTGTACAAATAAAAAGATGTACAAACCTCTAACAATTCTTATTAGGGATATAAAGGAGAAAATATCAGAGATAAATACCATAAGTTTAAATTGACAGGTAGGACAGAAGATTTATCAGATCATGGATAATTTAGGGATTTGGTTAAAATATAAATTAGGAAATGAAAAAGGAATTATGAGAGACACCTTGCTGATAGTGTTAAAACTAACAGTAAGGACTGTTTAAGTACATTAAAGTTAAGTAAAATGTTTAAAAAATGGGGACTAGGCCCTTAAAAGATCATGATTTCAAGGTTTTTGATGAAGACTGAACTTTTAAATTTCTTTTACAAGAAAAGCCATCAATATTCCTGACATGGAACATTCTAAGGGAAGTACTTGAATTGGCATGATTTGTGTAGATATTAATCCCTTGGTGGTAAGTGGAAAGATTGAGGTATTACAAATAGATAAAGCACAAGGGCCAAACAAACAAGGTTTTCTCTTTCATTTCTAGTATGTCAACAGACAGTGGGCAAATGCCTGAGTGTTGGATAATTGCTAATGTCACTACTATTTTTAAAGTGGTGATAGGAGTTGCCATGGAAATTTTAGGTCATTAATCTAAGTTCAGTATGCTTGTAAAGATTCTAGAGAGTCTGATAAAGGAAGCTTTACAAAATCATATGATATCAAAAATGAAAGCCAACATGGATTCACCAAAGGGAAATATTGCCTAACTTACCTGTTATCTTTTAGATGAGGATGTTGCTTGTTATCTGGATGATGGAAAGGGTGTGACTTTGTGTATTAGGTCTCCAGAAAACTTTTGATAAAGTGCCCAACAAAATACAAGCTGCAAATATAAAATCAGTAGAAGATTAATTATATGAATTTAGGGTAATTAGAAGGAGAGAAGAGAAAAGGTTATTATTTATGGTGAATGAGTGAAATTAGGCCCTACTTACCAGTGGAGTGCCTCAGTGGTCAATAATAGTGATAGGTCATAATATTAAATTATTAGTTTGTTGATGATATTAAACCCTTGGTTATTTCTAGCTGTGTTCAGAAGTTGAGGTACTACAGAATGGCTTGGAATAGTTGTTAAGCTGGAAAAAATATATGATAAATGTCTTAAGCAATAATAAGGACAATGTAATATATGTAGGATATCAAAATTTGGATGGGAATGCAATAGTGTAATTGAGAAAAGGATGTTGACATAGAGATCTATAAGTGTTTCAAGCCATCAAAGCAGTGCTCTATTGTTAGTATCTCTACATAAGTTACAAGTGAGGCTTACTTGGAACACTTTTTGCAGTTTTGGTCATTTTATCTAAGAAAGGATATTGACTTATTGGAAAGAGTTCAGAGGAGCTCTACTAGGATGATTCTGGGGATGGAAATGTTATAAAGATAGATTAGGATCTTTTAATTTATTTTCTCTTGAGAAAAGAAGGGTAAGAGGTGATCTTGTTGAAGTTTACACAATTATTTGAAGGATTGATAGGATAAGAATTTGTGATTTTTTCTGTGCTATATTTTCAAGTTAATAAGATAAAAGAACTCTAGTTTAATATTTGTAAATGACAAGCTAGACTTCAGTTAAGACTTTTTTTTTTACTATTAAGATGATTGACTTATGGGATGAGTTGCCATTATAGTAGTGGAGACCAGTACATAACAGGAGTAGAAGAGGGGTATTGATGATATCCTGAAAAATATAAGGTGGGTTTAAATTTTTGCTTTTCTCAAGCCTGGGTGTGTGTGTGCAAGAACAGCCCTGTAGAACCAAATTGTTCCTTGTTGTCTATAATTTTAAAAAAATAGGATAACAACTAATTGTTTGTTATTTGATTTTTTGTGTATTGTTTCTCAGAGAAGATGTGGTCATTGGTTCATGCTAATCGAGGAGACTGTGGTAATGTACCATGTGTTCGATCAAAGCATGCTGTATGTTTGACCAAAGAAGGACTGATCTATCTATTAGGGGGACGTTCAGGAAATTTACCAATGAAAGATCTTTGGAAATATGACCCTGGTGAGTGTAAATTTTATCTACTTCATAAAGAGTGATGTGTTTAAGAAGTTGATAGCAGTATATTTCTGAAGATATTTGTAGCATTACTTTAATTGGTTATTTTAATTTCCAGTAATTTATTTTTTTTAAATCTTTTGCATTTGAAGATTGACAACTATAGGCAAAAGTTTGCAGTATATAATTTTAATTAATTTTTATTATTAATTAAATAAATATGTATGTATATAACACACACACAAACACACACTTGTATATAGTTTATAGTTGTAACATTCTATATGTTGGAACTTAGGAAATTTTGGGGTTGTTAGAGTTTAGAAATGTAAGTCAAGTCCATGTTGAATTAAGACCTCTATCATTTTTTGTACTTCACACAAAATGGCATTATATATATATACATTGTGTTGGCAAACACAACTCCATATATTTTAAATATTTAATGTATATGTAACTGTGTTTTTATGGTATGTTCTGTACTGGTTATCAAAAAAAATTATTAATGCAAATATATATATATATATATAAATTAAGCAATCAACTGTGAATCCAAGTTGCAAAGTCACTAAGCCACACTGCCCATATATATATAGGTATTAAAAAAGAGCAGAAAGTGCTATCCAGTACTTCCAGTTTTCAATCTCATAAAACAATTTGACAGAATTTGTACAAACTAAGCACATCAGTTAGTAGCACAATTCTAACTTCCTGTACCATCAATAGTTGTAATGTCAAGATTAAGTAGTCTTTTATCTCTCCAGTAGTAAATATTTTTAACTACCACTCAGATTTTGTCCCCAAATTCTAGTCTTTATTGAAGGGTCTTATTTGTCAAGTCATTATCAGGGTGAGGTGATAGCCATTTAATCTTTAAAAAAAAAAAGCCCAAGGGCTCCATTCCTGGTGTCTGATGGTGTGAGGGCTCGCTCAGTTTGAAACTGGCTGTTAACTGATTAACTATACCAATTACCATTGAAGACTGGTGACAGCAGTGTCAGTTCCAGGCTGTTAAACAGATGTACAAATGCCTGGATCTACTGTCTGAGGGAACTGAATCATTAAAGGGAAGATATAACAATGGGAACCAGTGTATGGCCCAAGGAAATTGCTAGCTCCAGCAAGAGATATCCTGTTTCAAGGGGGGGTATTCAGAGGGCAAAATTAACTTTTGTAAAAATCAGTGCTGAATAGCTGCAATTAACAAAGGACTTTGATAATCTGCTGTTATTGCTCTAGAGACACATTTTAAGTTTTGTATATATACATATGTAATTGCATCCATGTTTAAGTTTTGTTTTTGCCAGTTTTAGTTTATAATTGCAACTGTTTTTTTTTCTTTTGTTCATTTTAATCTTTGTGGCTCCAAAACTACATTGAGTTTAATATATTATCTTGTACTGTGTTTTACTTTAGGTTTGATTCTTGAGTTTAATCAAATGTGATCTTGAGTTTTACTTTTTTAGCATTATTCAGCTAAAGGTCACTTTAATTTAAGTATTATTTTGAGTTCCTGCTAAGTTTGCCAGATTTCTACGAAGTCATTGTGAACTTGTTTCATTTTATTATTCAAATCAGGTAGGCTTACCCCCTGAAATACTGAAAGCCTTTCCATGTTAACTTTGCGTTCATGCTGTAAAAGTTATGTGACTTAAGGTTCTGAATGCCTTTGACTCCATTTTCTCACCTTCCATGTAACATTTTGCACATGAATCAAGAGAACATAAAATTACTGCTTTCCTGCTATAATTCAGATTTTCTTGTTAATAGTTGTGCTGTCAACTTCACTCACTATGAATTATGAAGTCAGTATTAACTACTGCTGCAAATGTTTCTTCCAATATCTGAAAGTTAATTTCTTTGGAGGCCTTACTCACGTGGTTTGCCTTTAGCATGTATGGAGATCCTGTGTTTGAAATATAGGCCCTTATTGATCAAAATATACAAGCTCATAATTTCATATAGTCTGCTGGTGTTCCTTGCAGGTTTATTTATATGGATACTCAGTTGTGTTATATCCATCCTTTTCCCCTTTGATGATAAATAAAAATGGTATTTTGCTTTAGCCGAGTCATTTTCAAGGACACAACAGCATGATGTGGGCCAGACTCAAACACAGATGGAACTGAATCATTAAAGTGAAGATTTTTAAATGGGAACCAGTGTATGGCCCAAGGAAATTGTTAGCTCCAGCAAGAGGTATCCTGTTTTAAGGGGGGCATTCAGAGGGCAAAGTTAACATGTTTAAGTTTTGTTTTTGCCAGTTTTAGTTTGTAATTGCAACTGTTTTTCTTTTGTTTATTTTAAGCTTTGTGACTGTAAAACTACAATTCTCTTACCATGTCTCATGTTCTTTTGACACCTTAGCCTGTCATGCTTTGTTATGAGGTACTTGTATCACCCCTTCCAATTTTCAGCTGACTTTGTGTATTGGTTGTCTTTGAATGGTCTGACTTTTTTCTTCTTTTCAGGTATGTGCTGTTTTAAGTCTTGAACTACTTTCTGTTATACCTCGGGTGCTAATACATATTGAATAATTCACTTTTTAATCTTTATATTTTCCACCTTGTGCTGATGCTTTTAGAAAGTAACTAAATGTTAGACCCTTTTAGCAGGTTTTTCTTCCTCTACTTATTTTACTTCTCAGAGTCATGACCCGAAGAGCAGTTTTAGGGAGGAATCTTCCACAGTTTTCTGCTTTGACTCATTGTCAGCTTCTTGCCCTGCACATTATATTTTGCCTCATTTTAAGATTTCTTCTTCAGAGTAGTTATTAGCTATCAGCTACCCTCATTATGCTTGTTATGCGATACTTGTGTCCTCCCCCCAAACTTTTTAGCTGACCTTGAAAGAACCTCTATGTATCTTCTTTTCTTCCCTGCCCTATACTTCTTCATTTTCCAAAATGATACCTCACCTCCACACACAAAATAACCTGTCTTACTTCTCACTTATGTAATTTCTCTTACCATGTGTCTCATGTTCTTTTGACACTTTAGCCTGTGATGCTTTGTTATGAGGTACTTGTGCCCCACAATTTTTCAGCTGACCTTGAAAGAACCTTGATGTGTCAGTTGTCTTTTGCGTAATTTCATCCACACTAGTCTCCCATGCAGGAGAAGAATGCCAGCAGGTACTATTTAGGGTTTGGTCATCTCAACTTACTTTTGGTAGTCATTCCTTTTGAGATTTCAAACAAATAATATTCTTCCATCTGTCTTATCTCCATTGCCTACTTCTCAGTCATTATCAACTACTTTTATTCATTCCTTAATGACACTACTGAGTGTTTAAAATAAGTTGTTAGCTAGGTTGTCTTCTCAACCTACTCTACAACTCTTTTCTGTTCTGGATAAATCTTCCAACTGGGCTGTTGGAGAAACATTGCAAGTCATTGGTTTACCTGTGGGATCTTCATGTTCAACTGATCATTCATTCTGGTCTTCCTTCTGATCCAGTTGTTTATAATTTCTAAATAAGGAAAACTTATCTTCTTCAGAAAGGAGCAGTCAAAATTATTTTTCTTGCTCTTACTTCCATTTCTTTGTGGTTCTGAAGATATCAGGAGATTGGAGATTTACCATATCTTATCTCAACTCATCTTTTCTTTAAGATACTTCATTTTAAAATAAACAGCATGGGTTTTTATGAAAGTTTCATCAGTGAGGCCATTGGAAGTTGATTGTGGATAAACAGCATACTTGCTTTCGTATCTATTTGTCTGTAATGCCATCATTTCTTATTTGTGCCATTGGGGGAGTAATTTATAAATTAATTGCCCTTCCCTTCACCTTGGCTTTGGCTCTTTATGGTTTCTGTCAAGTAGTTAAGTATTGCTGGTCTTCTCGATTCACCTAATATCAGTTTTCACTTTTATGTAAATAACTGGCATATTCTGACCCTTTTCACCACTCAGTTGACCACTGAATTGGGTACATCACTTGGATAGGTCATTCATAGCTCTAATTCTAATTTAGATCCAACCCAGTATTTTTTACATTTGAGGGTTTGATCAACACAGTTGAATGTACATTTCAGTTGTATCCTGTGATATTTTAACCCTTTTTGATCTCATATACATATTTTTATGTTTTCCATATTCTTTATTCTTTGGGAATGATAGCATCATTTCGCAGAGTCATTCTCTTGGGGTGTGCTCACATGTAATACCTTCAATGGGACTTTTCTTTTCAGTAGCATTTCATGAACAACTGCACATATGTACTAACATGTCGTGTGTGCTGCTTGACTGTTTTGTCCTGGTTTACAGCCATTCTTCATTCCTGTTCCTTGATTCTCAGTCTTTGAAATCTCTTAAGGATTAACCCCTCAACTTTTACTTTCCTTTCTGATGCCCAATTTTTCTGCCTTCATCTCTTTCTAACTACCTTCCTGCTTTACCTAAAGTCACTTTACCTTCTTTTTGAGGCACTTCATCATGCCCCAGAGGATTTTCCTGGAGAGGTTCATTCTCTTATTTTCACCATATTGGTGCATACTTCTTCTTGTGCTTTATCCTTCCTTACTTGGTTCCTGTGTGGTTGGACAGGATGCTTTCTTAGGTGATGTACTCCTCCTTCTCACCTCTGTGATCTTTGTCATATTCCACTTCTTTGCCTGGGGCTCTTTATGGGTATCCTGATTCACTGGAGACCCGGGCTGAGGCAGCTTGGCATCATTTCTCATTGTCTATTTTGGTTTCTTGTCTTTCTCAACCTCTCCATTTTGTTCTTTGTTTGCTGAATCCATATCTCCTATTTCCATTAGAGATTCCCAGCCTCCTCCTCCCCATCCTCCAATTTCCTGATGTCAAGGTCATTGCTGATCTTGTCAGTGACTGCCCTGTTAGGCCTGGCCCTGTGAAAGCCTATCTGTCTCTCTTCACTAGCCTTTGGTCTCCACTTTCAACTAACAGATGGGTCCTTCAGGTTCTCATTCAAAAAAACCTATCTCTCCACTTCTCCTTCTCTCCTTTTCCAGTTTATCTTCCTCCTCTCTCCAATCTTCTTAATCTTCAGCATCTTGAGGTTGCGGTCTCAGATTTCTTGGCCAAGAATGCCTTTAAGAGAGTATTTACCCAAACTCTGGGTTATTACTCTTGTTTCTTTGTTGTTGCCAGGAAGACTGGGGACTGTCATCTTCTTTTGTCTTCTCTCAATGGGTTTCTTGTCATCCCTTGATTCTGTATGGAGGTTTTCTTTTCTTTCTGGTGATTCTTTTCACCTAGAGTGTGGATGACTAAGGTCAATGTTTAGGATGTGTTTTTACACATTCTGAGTGCACTGTCCTCCAGATGTTTTCTTCATTTCATCCATTGTGATCGGGTCTTCCAGTTCAATGCTTTTCCTTTTGGCATTGCATCTGCTCCTTATCTCTTATTCCAACCACACACTTTAGTCTTTCACCCAGGAGTGTTGTCCCTTCTTCTTTACAGGGCTACCCTATCTGATTGTGTATTATTTTTCAGTTCCATCCTTCTGTCAGTGGAAGTGGCAGGGTTTCAATGTTGATCCTTCTGTCACCCCCTTCCTCTAGGCCATCTTACAGTGGACTGTTTTGGCCCTTTTCACACAGTTGTTCAATCATAAATTGTCAGTTTCTACCATTGCTGGTTATTGGGTGGCTTTATCAGCTACATTTCCCTTTTCCTATCACCATTAGGTTTTTTTCTTCCCCTGTTCTGTCCATTCTGTTCAGATCCTTCCTTTTTCACTGACCCCCTCATTCTACTCCCATGCATGACTATGACCATAATATAGTTTTTACATGCTCTTACACATGCTGTGTTTGAGCTGTTGGCTTCATATTCCTTATACCATCTTTCTCTGAAGACATATTTCTTTCTCTTTCTTGCCTGTTGTTGTTCAGATGTATATGCCATTGATGCTTTCTGTACTCTCTTTCACAGTACTTATCTACTCCAAGTGGGCCTTTCTTCCTAAGACTGGTTGCTCAGGTGAACATTCTTTCTCCCCTGGCCCGGCATGGCCAGGTAGTTAGGGCACTCGACTCGCAATTTGCAGGTTACCAGGTTTGAATCCCTGTCACACCAAACATGCTCACCCTTTCAGCCATGGGGGCATTATAATGTGTGGTCAATTCTACTATTTGTTGATAAAAGAGTAGCCCAAGAGTTGGCAGTGGGTGGTGATGACTAGCTGCCTTCCATCTAGTCTTACACTGCTAAATTAGGGATGGCTAGCATAGACAGCCCTCATGTAGCTTTGCACAAAATTCAAAACAAACAAACATCTTTCTCTCCTATCTTCCTCTCTTCAATTTTTCACCCCTATGTTCATTTGGACCTGGAGTGCCTGCTACATCCAGTTCAGACTGTTCAGTGATACTTGGCACATATATTTCCTTTTGTGATTTTCAATATTATTTGTTTCTATCTTGGGATTCCTCTTCATTCAGAGACCTTCTACTCCTACAGGATGGGTCCACCAAATTCTCAGGTTGGTGTATTCTTCCCTAGATAACGATGCTCATGGGCTCTTTCACTTTTTCTTATATCAGATTCATCACCTGTCTCAGTTTCTTGCATCTCACTTTTGCTGACCCTTGGATGAGATCCTTCAGGCAGTCATGTGGATGACTCTGCACACATTTGTCTCCCATTATCTTTATCATCTGACTTGTTTGTCTCCTGTGGGATTTTGACTTCATCTGGTTGCTGTTCTTCAATCTACACACTATCTTTGAGAAGGGTAAGTACAGATTCTTCTTCATAATCCTCTACCCTTTTATAGAATTTCACCAGGTGGCTGGTGTTGCCTTCTAGGATATGCTTATTTCCCAAAATATGCATCAGGCCAGGGGTAACAGAAGGAGCTCAGCTCATCTGCTCTGGCTCTACCAAATGCCTACTGTCAAGATACAGTGTTCTGCAAGACCATTAGAGGCATCCTTGTGGTATTAAACTTACTCAGTTGCCCAATCCAAACCATAACTTCCATGGACTATCATGGAAAGTCTAACAACCTTTGCTCTGGTGTTCAATTGGCTATGTTCTCATCTGGGCACTTCTCTTCTATATATTTTTGCCAAACCATACCAACTCATGGACTACTATGAGTAATGTAGTAGGATTACTGCCCATCCCTTTGGTCCTAGTTGAATAAACCAAAACTGGCTTGATTGTCAAAAATACGGTTTTCATGGTCCTCCATTGCATAGTATTAAGGTTACATTCCTCCAGACTCCCCACTGCCTTCCCCCTTAGCTGGTGGAGTACAGGAGTCCTTACTACTTACCAGTTCCTAGCTGTTGCTGTGGTGGACCATGGAGGCTTCCTCCTGAGTGGGACCACTTCCACTCAGTAGAGAGTAGAGTGTGCTCTCCTCTTATCTCAGACTGGACAAAACATTCCAGTTGGATTCTCTTTGGGCACTTTCTGAAGGGGACTCATCTAGGTAACTACTGCACCAGTCCTTCCACTGTTTCAGTATAGGATTCCAGCTATTATGTGAGTAGAAGTAAGGTATTGTATCGGAAGCTAACATTTTCGAACAAAAAAATGTATTTCTGATAGATGTTTACCTCTTCTCACACTTCCTTCCCACTTCTGATGCATCTTTTCTTTCCTAAACTCGAAATGATGATTGTGCTCTACAGTATGGAGAAAGTCAGCTGTACTAGGAGGGTATGTCACACTCCTGTTGGTGGAGGGTTGTCACATGCTAATTTGCATGCTACAATGTAACTACACCAGGTGATGTTAGGTGGGAGCCTCAAGGCTACTGGCTAGCGAAAATTGATCATACAGAGGGCAGCACAAATTGAGGAAAGTTATTATTATATATTATTATCTATCAGAAATACATTGGAAAATGTTATTTATGCTCCTCAAAATAGAATGAATACAAAGATGTAATTACCTATTGGTTTGTGTTTAAAATGTTATATAAGTAATGATACAGAAGAAGGGTTGGAAGGAAAGAAAAATGTTAAATAAAAATGAAGTAGTTTATATATGAACTATAAATATTGGAAATAACTCATCTGTGCTTGATAGGTTTTGCCAACCTCAAGTGACAAACAATTAGCAATTACATTCTTATTTCCAGCTGATGACATTAATTTAGGTGTTTGACAATAAAGCTAGAAAAAATGACTCTCACTCTCCTTTTATTATTATCTGGGTAAAGGTAATTATTTTTCTAACTTTATTGTCAAAACACCTAAATCCCTCCACTATGCATTATAAGTTCAGAAAAACAACTTGACTTAGGAGACCGTTTAATTTGGTTATTTTTCCAGAAAATGGAAGCATTTCATACCTAGATTTTGTTATGGCATATTTAATAGACCATGGTGAATTATTTTCTTATGTTAATAAATTGAAAGTAATTAAGTATCTAATCACTTGATTATGCATTTTAATTCATTACAACAGCTATAGCCATTCATTAATCTTATATACTGGGGTGCAGTCTTAAAATGAAAAAAAAAAAAGTTTGCTAGTTATAATAAACTAAAAGTTCTTTCTATTATTTCACAAAAATGTATTGTAAGTGTAATAAACTGATAGTAAAATTGTAAAAATGTAAGAACTATTACATGTAATATAATATATTGTCTTGTATTTTCTTTTAACCAATTTATATTCAAATCTGTATTGTTTGTTCTTTTTCATGTATTTCCTTGTATTCACTTAGTATAAGAAAAATAAAAACTACGTTTTTGTACTAATTAAGAATTTGTAATTCACTTTTGTTGGATAATTTTAGAAAACTTTTAGTCTATTCTTTGGTACTGTTACCATATGATTTAATAATTAATGTGTTTGATTAACAAATCTTATTTAAGTTAATTAATTAATCAAATACTTATCGTTATGTTGTTTGCTTAGTGGCAGTAATAAAACCATTTCACTAAGAAAAGACTGTTATCTATTGCAGAAGATTCTAGTCAAGGAGATAAATGTGAAACTGTTGTGTAAATGTTTAAGAACTGTGTACAGTACTTCAAAATTTGAAATTGTTTTGCCTAGTAGACTCATCAGATAGAGGTCTTAGATATTCAATAACAACAACAAAAACCCTGTACATCATTAGAAGTATTATAATCAGAAATGTGTGTAGGTCTCATGGTACATTCAGGTGTATGAGTGTCTGTTAATTCACGTGGAGTATCACAGTTTCAGTACAACAGTTAGTACCTTTAGCATCCAAAATAACTCTTTCTATAGTTCTAGTAAATATTTTTATAACATGAATACTATTTTTGTTTAATTTATCTGAAGACATATTTTCAATAATAAGTCTAATACAATTAACTATGAACTGAGCATTGAATAAGTTAAATGTATTGTAATTATATATCAAATGAATTGACTACTGAAAAACCTTGTGGGATGTAAAAGCAAAGTAACTTTTAAAGGTAATTTTCTAATGCATAAATTTTAAATTTCAGTTCAAAACCAATGGGAAAAAATTCATTGTTATGGCTGCTCTCCTCCTCCTCTTCAAGAGCACACAGTAGTCTCATGGAAGGTAATAATATCTGAAAGTATTATTTTTTTTTTCATTTCTTGATATTTTTTATATGTTTTATATCTGGAAGAGTGAAAAAATAATGTTAAAGAGTGTATAAAGTACATCTTATTTACAAGCTTATCAAGATTTCTATTTGTTTCATGCCTCATAAAATGTCATGTAGTGCCATATTTCTCAGCCTTTCTTGGTTTAGAACCTAAACACTAAATATATACTAAATATTTATAATTTTCTTGATTGTATATTGCTTTGATCAGCCCCCAAAATATTTGTGTATGTAATATTGGAAAGAACATTTTGTGTAGTTTGTCACATGTTCATTTAATGGACCTGCAGCATTCAAATGTTTTCTTCTAGAGTAACAATGTGATAGTAGTAATTCTGATATTTTTTATTACAATCCTGTTACATAAATGACAGAATGATTAGGTTCCAGTTTGATCTTGTCTTTTCCTTCTAGGATAAACTCTATGTATTTGGAGGGGAAGTAGGATTTGCATCTAGGGGAGAGACACCTTTGTGGGTTTTAGATACAGGTTAGTATAATCCAAGGGTGATTAAGGGTACAAACAATTAGTAGTCTTTCTTTTTCTTTCAGAAGTATGTGGTGATTATAAGGAAACCTCCATATTTAAAATGAGTATATCTTAAAAACTACTTGATCCATGGAACTACATTTCCCCAAAAACACATTGAAAATCATAAGTTTCATTCAAGAAAGTTTGAACATGGTACAGGGCTTGTCACAAAAGGTTTTAATTATGTTTTCTGTTCAGTTTTAATCAGCATAGCAAGCTTATCCCAAAATGAAGCTACTGCAAATATCATCTGTTCTAGACAGTGTTCGATGGTAATCACAGTATCCTCCACGTTGATGTGCATTTCAACATCACTAATTTTGTATTGTTGAAAGACAAAGAAAGAGAAATAAAACTAATGTTAGTTTGTGAGAAAAGATAGTTTGGGTATGTAGTGTAATATGGTTTAGAAATACCCTGCATGCTATTCAAAATTATCTGAAAAACTTATCAGTGTTTCTCTGATGACATTTTTTTCTAAGACAGTTTGCTTTATAATGACCCAGTAGAAAGTAGACAATACTGTTATATTCTTTTTACTTTCTATAGATCCTACAATTATACTAGCTGAGACCCACAAAACATTTGAAGTCAAATTAGAATCTTTATTGTAACAGCATTTCTTTAAATACAGAATTTCTAGAATAATACAAAAAGAACCATAATTGCAGATGCGGAAATCTACAAGTCCACTTGTCTTAGGCCTAACTTTAATCTATGTCTATTTAGTCTATGTTTGATAAGGAGATAAATAAACACTAACTTGTGTATGTATTTTGGTTAGACCTTTTTAAAAAATTTGATAATCTTTTAATATGTTGCTTTACAAAATGTGTACTAAAATATATTTACATCTGCTTTTTTGTTTATGTCCATTAAATGAAGTGTGCGGGCATGCACATTTAGATAGAAAGATGTGTACACATTTTCAGGACAGCTAAAAACTTGTATTATTATAATAGATAGTTCTGTGTTTCACTCCTTAACTTGCAAATAGAAATATATTGTGTAGCCTCCCCTTTTTCATGCTTGAAAGAATTGTATCTGAAACAAATTCAATCCAATTTTCTAAAAAACTTTTGCATATGTCTTACCCACAATATTTTGGGCAATCACTATTTACTTTAAATATAGCTGAAATGATCTCATCAGAAACTGTTTTAAATGAATGTGCATGTATTGGAGAAGATACTTTAA